TTAATGTATCCAAGCTAGTTTTTAGTATATTTGAAGTACATATTAATGTATCTGAGACAATACTTAATGAATTTGAGATAAATATTAATATATCCGAGCTAATTTTTTAATATATTCGAAGTACATATTAATGTATCTGAGACAATACTTAATGTATTTGAGATAAATATTAATGTATTCGAGCTAGCTTTTAATATATTTGAGCTACATATTAATGTATCTGAGACAATATTTAATGTATCTGAGCTACATATTAATGTATCCGAGCTGGTTTTTAGTATAATCAAGCTATATATTAATGTATATGAGATAATATTTAATGTATTCAAACTATATATTAATGTATCCGAGCTTCAGTTATTGTATCCGTTTTTCTTAATTTTTAAAAACGGCTCAACTAAACAAGTATGATATTTTCAAGCCGAGCTGAAATAAAAAAAAGATAATATTAGCCACAAAAAAATATCGCAGCCGATGACCAAAAAGGACAGCTGTCATTGTCATGAAAATGAATGACAAGCCATAGCTTTGCCGCTGTTTTCTATGGCTTATGAAAATGACTATACTACCCTTTATTCTGTCGGCGGTGTTCAAGTTTTTTTTTTTTTTAATTATAATTTTTGGAAAAAAATATACATTTATACCAACAATTAAAAACAATATAAATTTTATTTGTCGTATTATATTAATATGTTTTTTCTTAATTTTGAGAGAATATGAGTAGACAGTTAAATTTATAAAAAATTAATCAAATAAATACATATGTTTATCTATATGAGCTTTTTACGCATTTTTTTATGTGTATTATGTCGAAACATATTTAATTCTATATATATTTAAGTAGCTATTTATACACACTTAAAATTGAAAGATATTGTCGTAACCATATATAATACAAGGTGGCTAATTAAAATTTTCTAACTTCGTCAATGTTGAAGGATATATATAGATAGATGTCAGCTAAAATTAGGTTAAAAAATATATTTATATTTTATGTTATTTTATTTGAAGCTTTTATAGAGAGATATTTATATCTTATTTGGTTTTTAAAAAATGTGTTTATATGTTATGTCATCTTATAATATTGAATAATAAAGTGAATAATTGATGGCCCTCTAATTCATTTTTAAGTAATATTTAGATCTTTTAATTTTTCTAAAAAATTGGTTAACTAATATGGGTGTTTAATTAACTATACAAGAAAGAATAATGATATAAATTATGATTCTTGCAGACTTGCTTTTGCTAAAAACAATTATAAAAGTATCCTAAATTTATATTTTACAATTAAAATAATAATAATAACAATAATAATAATAATAATAATGATAATAATATTTTCTCTATTTTATTTTATATGATATTATTTAACTTAAAAATAAAAAAAATTAATATATATATATGTATATATATGAACCCATATTTTTTTTATAAATATAATGAGTAGAATGCTAAAAGCTTTAAATGTGTAGTTAGGTTTTGAATTTGCCTCTTAATTTGGCTAAGCATTATTTAAAGAAAAAAATGATGAAACTTATTAATGTGGATTAAAATTAAAGTTAAATTGTTTATATATATAAAATAAAATATTTTTTGTGGGACCAACTAAGAAGAAAAACATCAAATAAATTTAAGAAAGTAACTAAAGAATATTAGCACTTTTAATCCTCAAATATCACTAAAATTATAATTTTGAACTCTGTCGGTGGTTTCATTTTTTTTTTTATTTTATTATTTTAAGCTTGAGTTTTTGAATTAAGAAGAATAATTGTTGGCCCTAGTATTAAGATTTAAGGCCCTCTATTATTCTTGTTAAGTAAGATTTAGATCCTCTTGTATATATTATTTTATGAGGTATAATATAATTGTTTGTTGACACGAAAGTCAGAGATTTTTAAGGTTGAGATTGAGAATGAGAATCGAATCGACGGAATAGTAAAAAAAGAATCACTTATATAAAGAAGAATCGAAAAGGATCAGATTGTTCATCGCTTAAAGTAGGAGTTGAGAATTGACTTCTTTCATCAATATCAATAGCTTACCAGGCTTGTGTTACTCCTTTACCTTTTCCCGTTTGATTTCGGAGCACCTCTAATCCTTCAAATATCGAAAATTTTGAATTTTGAATCTTGTGATTTATTATGCACATTTAATCTTTAATTAATTAAGTAATATGCTTTTGTGGGATCAAAATTTAACATATTATTGCATGCTAAACCATTTAAATCATCAATGCATTATGTTTAATTTGTAATGTTACTGATTTTTAAGGTATTATAGTTTTAATATTCTAAACATAGTCTATATTTATGAGATGCATAATAGCTAATAAATGTATTAAATCAAATATTATAAGGATCGAAGCTATTTTTTTTTATTCGATATTTGATATCTGTATTAAAGTTATTAGAGTTAAAAGTCTAATACCCCTAAACTATGTAAAAATGAAGGCCATGTATTTTTCTATTTTTAACAAGATTTAGATCCTTTTTAAAATCTTTAGTTATTATTGTATAATTCATCTCAAACTATCAATAATGATAATGGTGATGAGAGTTTTATGATAGATTGGACCTTAATTAATTTTTTTTTATTTAGAAATTTGTTGTTCAAAGATAGTATGCTATATCAAAGACTTAATAATCTTTTCCAATCTTTTGAAACTTTTTTTTTAAAAATAAAATACAAGCATCTTTATTAAAAGAGAAAAAAAGATTATACTAAATTATTGAGTTAGGAGAATTTTGTCTTTTATGTTTTTTTTTTATCTACTATGACATATTGAGAGGGAATTCCTTTTTTGTATTATGTGATGATCAATAAGCTTTGATTGGTACTTTCTAGGTCTCATTTAGTTTTAATATTTGATTTTTTAAAGTTAAATTATGTGAATTTTAATTAAAATTAACAATATATTCAGTATAATATTATAAGGGAGGGGTGGAGAGAATAAAATGTACGTCAATTTTATTCCTGCCTAGTGTAGATATATAGACTATTTTCAAATGATCTTCAGTTCAAGTATAATAAATTTAAAATAGCTACGAAAAAAGAAAATATGATAATAAAGAAAAGATGTTGATTAAATATATATTTTTATCAAATTAACATGAAAAAAGTTTTAACTTATATTATTTATCATACAATGTTGAATATTTTAATTTGGAACATTAAATATTAAATCAATTAAATGAGTCATATAAACTTTTGAAAATAAAAACATAACAATTAATTTGGAGAAAGTATTTATTTTCTATTTTTTGATCCACACATTGATCAATAAGCTTAAATTGAGGATCATTATGTTTTCAAGAATAATAAATACAATTAACACACTTTTTTTTTCAATTTTCTTGGTTATCTTTTTGTTTATAAATTGTGATTAATTATCTACTATCCTACAATATAAAAGGCTTAATCTTTATTTTTTACTTCGAAAAAAGATTACCAATAATTATTTGATCGTCTTTCTTTAAAAATAGTCAAAATAAATTAACTTGAATTCAGAATCGCTATTTAAAATCTTAGTAAAATGCGAAAAATTTTCATCTCACGTCACACCAAATAATATCAAACAAAAAAAAAAATCTCATTTTTGTTGTTATTCATTATTTCTTTTAATAATAATTCCAACTTCTATATTTTATTATATATTTTCTTTTTATCTCCAAAAATAAACTCATTCTCCAAATGAATTCCCATAAAGTCTTTCTACATTATTTAGTGTTAGGTACGATATTAATTTAGATATTTAGTTGGTGGAACCGATAAATTACACGAGGTGGTTAGATGCGTGGGGCAAAATATGTAACACAAAGGACTTATAGTACTTCTATTTTTATTGATTGATTCGGTCTCTTGTTTGCTTCACATCATATTAATACGGGGTTGAATTGAATAGTCATAAAATTTTATGCTCACTGAAATTTCAAATAGAAATATTTTTTTCCCTTCAATTCTATTTTATAACTATATTTGGAATTAAGGGTATACGTACAGTTCACATGATCAGAAATTACTAACCGACACTAAATTTTACATAATGAATCAAATATTTTAAACCTTTACCTTCGATTGTTATTTCACTGTCCTAATTTATTTGATTGTATTTCCTTTTTAGTTTGTTTAGAAGAAAAATAATATTTATATTAAAGATAATTTATAATTGCGCAAATATAATGACTTAATCATAAGTTCCAAGTTTATTTTTTTTTAAATTATCAATCAAACACCATCACGTAAATCGAGACTTAATAACTACAATATTAAATTGACTATTCTACCCTTTGAACTCTGTCGGCGGTTTATTTTTGGGTAGGTTTGATACTCATACATTTATTTGATTTATTTATTATTCTTTTAAAGTAATATTAGCAATCTTTTTGTTCAATTTTTTTAGGGGAAAAAGACAAATTTATATCGTAAATTGTACGCAGATACCTTCCGTCATATTTCTGAGATATTGATGTCTCTGCCATCCAAAAACTAGAGCGTATATACCCTTCACTCTAACGAAAGACTAGATAGGGACACGTGACACGATCTTATCCGTTGATCTAATATTTAATAAATGTCGATCGGTGGATAAGATTATGACACGTATATGTCCGTTTGTATAAAGGGTATATATACTCTAATTTTTGGACAGCAGGGGCACCAATGTCCCAAAAAGTATGACAGAGGATATTTGTATACCATTTACAATAATTGCATAATATTACAATAATAACATTAGTAAAAAAGAAAAAAGATACGAGATGGAGATAGAGATGCACATATACAAGAAAAAGCTAGTTTTGAACTTTAGAGGCGATAAATACTCGATCACATGAGTAACACATAATAGATCTTTAATATTAACGCGTAGATCTTACATTGAAGTTCAAACTTTTTTGATTAAAGAGTGAAAGTCACTTGACTGTAAGGAGAGAAGCTCCGAGTAAAAACACTCGTAGATCGTAGTTATTGGTCACATTAAAATTAAAATCTAAAGGCAAAAATTATGTCAATTTTTCAAGTTGTATTATGTATATAATGTGAAAAATTCAAGACAAACTCCTTGGTGCCAAATTTTAGTGAAATTCAACATTCAACTCATGTTTTAATTTACACACTATAAACATTTCTCTGGCTATTCATTTCAGACAATGTATATTCGACACGAAAAAAATAGTATATCGTCTACTTGTTTGATATTAAGACGTAATTGTTGTTGTTGTCGTCCTTGCATATCATATTTGAAGATTGATGAGCTGAAAAACCTGAAAAACAAAATGAATCTCATCATAAAAAATTAGCAATAACCTCGAAGGTTGTAATCCGTGTGGCTTATAGGTCACAGGTTCAAGTTGTGAAATCAGTCACTAATGATTGCTTCAAGATACACACCCTACGGTTTTTGACTCCTCGGACCCTCACGAACGTAGGATGCTTTGTGCACCGAGCTATCCTTTATGTAAAAAAGAGATGGTCTAGTTCATCCATCTCTTTTGAGCAATAACTCATCCAAATTTACACAAACACAAGTAAAGATGCTAGACGTTTTTCTTCTTCTATAAGATCGATAACAACAACAACAACGATATGACTTGTTTGTATCATCCAATATATGCTCTACCGAACATGGACGTAAACCAAAAAGAGGGTCTCACATTCAAGATTTCGAGTCAATGAGTTCTAACCTTTCTTCACATACCTATAATATACTCCGAGCTAGACGCATATGGGTCTTGCAGAGCCCGTTGCGTCTAGTCTAGATCCGCCACTCTTGACAAGAACCAAGATACTACCAATTTCGGTTATATATCAAAAAATGTATATTTAAAGACACAATAGATGATAGAAAGAAAAAAGTTGCTTACTTTCAAAGATGAAATGCTGAGGACTATTGCCATGCAACTGATTAAATAATGAGTTAATTCCGAGCTGAACTCGCGGAGGAAGTCGTAGAATTATTTCCGTTCAATCTGCTTCCGTTATGAGCAACCATATCATCGTTGTGTCTCTGCTCAACGTTTGAAGGTATGTTGTTGTCCGTGTTATTTTCCCGTGTCTCGAGCTGTCCCATAGAAGTACTTCGAGAAAACAATCTCTCTTTCCACCCGCGTGTACTCTTTGAGATTGATTCTCTATATCTGGAAAGCAAAAAAACACATTCAACATTGCGTATAGCTTCTAAAATGACACACTCAAAAGAGCAAGTTTAGCAATTCATACTTCATTGACATTGAATTAAATCGAGATTTCCAGGATTCCGATAATGAATGAAGAAGGTCTGATGGTCCTTCGGTATCCTCGTTTTCTGTCAAAGATGGACCAGAAGAGCTTCTAAAACGAAAAAAAAACAAAAGAAAATGGCAAATTTCGATATGAGAAACATGTTGTACCATTGATGTTTTAGCAAAGAGATTGGAAAGTGAAAATCGTTAATACCTATCGCCAACAGATATTTCTTGTTTAACGGTTTGTGGGCGAACATATCGAGATGATGAAGCAGAAAGTTGATTACTTTGACCAGATGAGAGGTGAGGCAAGAACTGTGCAGTCTCATGGCGGACAGGTGTTATAGGAACAGAAGGATCAGCTATAGCTTGACGAGAATCCGATTCAGCAGCAGCAGTAGGAGATGGATCAGGATGAGATGAAAACACTAAAAAATGCGGACGACCATGGGGAGATGGCCGATTTCTTGATCCCTCTCGTTGACCAAAGTGGTGTCCCCGTCCCATTGCTGCAGCAGCAGCCAAATGCTGAATAATGCGCTCTTCGAGTTCAGACTCACTCATACCCGTGGTCAACTAGAGAGCAATCAAAACGGAAAATGAGATAAACGCAACATTATAGCTTGTGGAATTTCATTAATCAGATAGGAGAAGGAACATTTATAGTTTGTGAAATTCAATATTTACCAGCGTAGGACGACGAAACATCGTAGCGTTTCTTGCCTGATTAAACCTAATAGTCCTCTCTTGTTCCACTGCCTCAAGCAATTCTTGACTGCAATATCATTGTCAATCAAAGTCGAACATCAAAGTTAATGCGTAGAGTGGAAATGATATGAATTTGTGAAAATCGAAAGGGAAAAGAAGCCACAAATGTACCTTGTAGGATCTTTCAGACTTAGGGGCTGCCAACACATTGGACAATTAGAACTTCTTTGATGCCTGTTTTGAAAAAATTATACAAATTATAATAAACTTGAATAAGATTTATGTAAGATTTCAACTTCAGAACAAAAATCAGTCCCAGAATTTGACAAGCTTTCATTTACGAAACGTGACTTTAACAAACAAGAATATAGATTTAAAATTAACAAAGAAAATTACATGAAAAAGTAACATATCAAATATCCCCCAATTCGTAAGGCAGACTTATTGAGAGAAACAGCCCGAAATGAGACAATTGTCATACACTCAAACTTGACCTCGGCTAGCAGGTAAGCACTATAACTTCGAGAGTGCACATCTACACACCTCAACTTGATCTCAACTGACAACCAAACACTCCAACTCGTCTCTACTATGTATCATGGATGAGGTGTCTAGATGATCATTTGGTAAGTAAGTTGGAGTGTTCAATTGACACGGTGGAGATGAGTTGAGGTGTCTACGTGTGCATACTCAAAGTTGGAGAACTTACTTGCCCTCTAAGGCCACGTGTGAGTGTTAATTTATGTATTATGCCCTTTAGGATTCGGACAACTAATAAGAGGAGCAGCTTCTACAACATGACCTCTTTGCTACTGTATTTCTTTTTCAAAACCGGTTTTGATATGTTCTACTTGAGCTGAGAGCCTATCGGAATAGCCTCTGCCCAAGGTAGGGGTTAAGGTATGTTTCCACACTACCCTCCCCAACTTAGTTGCGCAAACTCTTCACTTTTGATGCCACACCCGTCTCGGATTCTTCAAAAAATACACTACTTTTGGATATTCCGACACGCACCCATAGGCATTTTTGAAGAGTCCAAGCAACATAGCACCCTAGGCCCTACTAGTGGGGTTTCACTGGGTACGTTGTTGTTATTCTCTTTTATACTTTGTTCTCATTCGCCTATATCTCTCTGTCGTCCTCCCTTTCTCCCTTCTGCTACTCAATCTGTCTAATCAGAGAGTAATTTATTGTGTCATTAGTTCTGCAACATCTTTCGCTTACTTAGCTGTTTATATTTCCTCGAAATGTAGAAATGAAAAAATTTAGAAAGATTTCCGGGGCAAGGTGAGGGGGCGGGGCGTCAGCAAGGTGTGATTTTCTACATAGGAGGACATCTTGTTTTCAAAGTAGGAAGAGATTTAAGAACTTAGTTTGAGCTTCGAGATCAGTGGATCACGGCATCACGAGATATGACTTAACTTTATTACACCTTGTAAACCAACATCAACTTCATGACAAAAAGATTCTCAAAATCAATAAAAATGATGGAAACAGGAAATACTAGTGATTTCTTCCCGTTTGTCTAAGCCTCGGGGGATAGAGTTATCTGATACCTATGCGAGGAGCGTGTAAGCTTGCCTGGAAATCACGCTTATCCAAAAAAAATCGTTTTTACTTCTCTATTTTGCTATCCCAACTCACATTTCCGATAGCCAGTTAACCACACCTTTCCCGAAAAGGACAGTCACAAAAGTTATCAAGTCTAAGTTTATTCTTCTACTTCTCACCCAATTTCGAATCTTCAAATGACATTTTAATAGCCCAGACAACAACAATAAGCTACTGAATGCAAAATAACAAGAGCAGTAAATTAACGTTGTCAAAATCAACTTAAAAAAAAAAAGATATTGGTGCAACGCCATACCATTCGAGGATGCACTGGAGGTGAAACTCGTGCCTGCAGCTTGTTAGCTGTTGAACAACAGACCAGATATTGTAAGCAGTTTTTAACACCGCGGTAAAAAGAGAGCAAAACAATCTTATACTTAATAGAAAAAAGGGGGGAGCAGCCCGGTGCACAAAGCATCCTGCATTAGCAGAGCCACACCCGAAGGAGGTGTGATGTAAACAGCCTACCCTAATGCAGGCATTAGTGGCTGCTTCCACGGCCCAAACACACATAGACAACTTTACTGTTGCTCGGAAGGCTCCCCTTCAATCCTATACTTAATAAGCAGTTACATTTTGTGCTAGAAGTATTCATAGTGTTCACCGTTGAAGGATCGCTATCGCAGAAAGCTTCCAGACAAATGCTGCACGCATCGTCACAGGCATCTTGAATTCCTCCTTCCACAAAAGCTGCAGCTGATGTGATATGACTCTCCCCTTTCTTGAGCTCATCGTCCATTTCCAGAACCTTACATATGCAACAAAGCCCCAAAAACCGTTTAACTTAATATCTCGAAAAGGAAAGAAAAATCAGAAAGTCCCCCAGCATATCATGGAGAACTCCATTGATAATTGATGAATGCTCAAACCAAAGTACAATACACTAAGACACTCGAGAATTTCGAAGAAAAATGAACAATCCTCAGTGTAATACATATTAGTTCAATAAAATCACTATATGACAATTCTCAATTTGTGCGCATACATTCATCGAAGCCCTCCAATTCTCAGATCATAGAAAAAAAATCCAAACTTCAACGCAACTATATAGAAATTTCACATATTTTAATCCACCACATCGAAATTCTTGAAAAAAGATGCAAACTTTAACACAAATACAAAGAAATTTCATATATTTACATTCGCAACATGAAAAATCTTGAAAAAAAAATGCAAGCTTCAACACAACTATATCGAAATTTCACACATTTACATCCACCACATGAAAAATCTTGAAAAGATGTGAACTTTAACGCTACTACAAAGAAATTTCACATATTTTCATTCACCACGTGAAAATGGTTTGGGCTTGGGACTTTCATATTGGAGGTCTCAAGTTCGAAACCCCTTACCGAATACAGGGGTTCGCCTTCTGGGTCGAGCTCGTCGTACCAAACTTGCCTAGTGCAAATTGCCTCTCCTATATGGTTTGTGACCTATTGCATAAGAGCAGGGGTTTTACCTGTACGCACCCAAAGGTAGCGGATGCGAGTTTCCCTCTTCATAAAAAAAAATTGAAAACTTTATCACAAATATAAAGAAATTTCACACATTAACATTCACCACATGAAAAATCTTCAAAAAGATGTAAACTTCAAAACAAATACAAAGAAATTCCATATATTTACATTCACAACATGAAAATTCTTCAAAAAGATGCAAACTTTAACACAAATACAAAGACATTTCATATATTTACATTCACAACATGAAAAATCTTGAAAAAAATTCTAAAATCTTTAACACAACAACAAAGAAATCTCACATATTTACATTCACCACAAGAAAAACCATAATAATGTGCAATAAAATTTTTTTTTAAAAAATCCATAAACACAACAATTACAATCTCATAAACTAGATCAATATAAACTACAATTTTCATATCACATTTGTTTTATTAATTAAGAACTTTACCTCAAAAATGAATTAGAATTCTGTCCTGGAAAATGGGTCAAAAAAAAGGGGAAAAATTTCCATAAATTAGAAAGATTAAATCTCTGATATTTTTTGCCATGAAAATAAGAGAAATGAATGCTAAGGTCCCATTAAAGAAACCCTTGAAACATAGAAATAAGAAAGATAAAATAGACAATAATTAAAAAAATTGGTAATGGGGGTCACGTTTTTATTATATTTTGTCATTTTGTCCAACAAACATTTATAAATTTGAGCATAATACATACACAAACGTTACGTGACCTCGGTTGACAAGTAAGCATTTCAATTTTTAATATGCGTATCTAAACATCTTGATTTATCTATAAAATGTCAGTTGAATTCTAATTTAAATGGTGATTGACGCGAAGCAAGGATTTTCCATAAGGGGATTCAAAATATACAGAATTAGACACATGAAATAGCCGAACGGGGTTTCAGATCTACTATATATACATAAAAAATTATTTTAACCATGTATAAATAATATAACTTTTTGTCGAAGGGAATTTCGATAAACCCCTTCCTACAAAGTGGCTCTGCCCCTATTTGTCTAGACTCACAAATGTATCAATGAGAACGAGCTATTGTGTTTTTAGTTATTGAAATCAAGTTGAAGTCTCGAGATATTTATTTTAAAAGTTAGAGTATTTATTTGTCAGTTTCAATCAAATTTTAATAATATATTTTTATGTAACTGTATATAAATGAATCACGTCGAAATTTTGATGATAGGAATATAATCGCTTCGTCAAGCCTTGTGTTTGAACTACTATATAATTTAACAATTATAATGTATATGAATATATGTATTATGTAATTATTGAGTCGATGTAAACACAGAAGATACTCCCTTCGTTTCATTTTATGTGACACTTTTCGCATTTCGAGATTCAAACAAGTCTATCTTTGACCGTAAATTTTTTCATAGATCCTTTTAACATTTTGAATTATCAATTATTGTGACTTATAGTACTATTTTTACGTAGTATACAAATATATAAATTTCATTTAAAATTTTTTGAAGATTCTATAGACAAATATCTGATCAAAATTAAATCGTTCGACTCTCAAAAAATAAAAAATACCACATGAAATGAAACAGAGAGAAAGTACATTTTCTTGGGGTTAGGAATGAGAAGTTGATAGGATGATCTCTAATATTCTTTTTGAAGAATCTTTGTGTTTGGTGGCATATGATAATTGGTACTATAATTAAATTATAATATTATACAAAGATATAATTAGTATAATATTAAAACAAGTGATCCACAAAATGAAATATCATATACATATATTGGATTTGTTTACATTTGAGAATTAGGTCTTGTTTTGTTTATAAGTAAATATAATTTGGAACAAGTCACCAACCCTTTTATTTTTATATATTCCAAATTGTAATAATATTTAAATTTCAAAAATATAATAGAATATACTCACCTTTAACTACAAATCATGTGAATACAATGCTTGATTGTAAATTTACAAAAAGGCACAAATTTCACACATACATTGGACAAAAAGGAATAGATTATACTCGTAACGAGTGACGATTAGGATAAATTGTCTTCATCACAACCCTTATCGAACCCTATGTAAATACGAGATGCTTTATGCACCGAGCTGTCATTATAATAAGGCATCACAACCCTTATCGACCCCTATGTAAATACGAGATGCTTTGTGCATTGAGCTGTCATTATAATAAGGAGTCACACAACATTCAAGTGTAAGTAATATGAATAATGAAGTTACTATTGCTTGAAAAAAAAATACTTTTCTTCCAACCTTCAAAATTTATGCAAATATGGAATTTAATCTAAATAGTTTTGTAACATTCTTTCCTGTTGCAAAGATAACATCCTCAGAGAAGTACGACGCTACGCGACGAGAAACATACATAAACAAGAGTTTAATACAAACCATACAAGAGATTTCTATCGTTAGTAGTCATCGCCTCTTGATATAACCTCTTTGCAAGTCGGACGAAGTAAAATGGTGTGCTCAAACTGGGATACGTAGCTACCTTTGTTATCGCAAAGTGGGGGATATGGCTGCCAAAAGAAAAGAAAAACACAGCAGAACTTCAAATTTTGGATCATATAATGTGCACAGTGTAGTCCCACAAGTGGAGTTTGGGGAGAGTAGGATGTACGCAGACGTTACCCCTACCTTCGTAGAGTAGAGGGGTGGTTTCCGATACACTCAGATCAAAAGAAGTGCAATCAAAGTAGGATTGGAATGAAAATAACATAAGAAATTATGCATAAGATAGAATAGGAACCATTGAACGACGATGCTACAATAGCATAAGAAATTATGCATAAGATAGAATAGGAACCATTGAACGACGATGCTACAAGTGTCATAATTGAGCCAAACACTTAGCTTTGAGGTCGCGTACCTGAACAATTCCAGCATCACATAAGTTCTTCAATGCCATCAGATATTTTGTCTCGCCAAGGCGGTCTAGATAACGTCTACAGAATGCCAATGTGGAGAAGTTCTTATTAATCGTTGCCAGCAGTTGCTTGGCTCTGGGTAGCCGCAGTGGAATGTGTCCAATATCAAAGTTTTTCATATAATGGCTGCATTCAAGATCTTCCCTCACGTATCCCTTCCCTAATATATGGAGATACGAGACGAGAATCAGTTTTGTCACATCCCATGTGTCCCGGATAAGCCAGTTATATTACTCTTTCGCGTAAACGAAACAGAAATTACCTGTTGATCCGAACGTCTCAATTGCATAAAATTCACCCTCTTCCATTTTGGTTTGTTCTCCTCCTTTAACTATCGGAACAGATTTTCCTGCGTGGATTTGATACTGGCCAATACTGTGCCCATTCAGATTTCGGATGCTCTTAACTGCCAATGACAACATTGATCAGAATTCTCGATTCAATACAGACGCCTGCTAATTAAATTACTTCGCTTATCAACATATAAGGTCCTTTTCTCCACGCTCCGATGCCATGACGTTGGTTGTCTTAACAAAACAAAGTAGAAATAAATGTTTTTTTCTAGTTATCATACTTCTCAGATATCGTACCTTGGAATACCTTCCCGTTGATTTCAACCTCATAGGATTCCATAACCTCTTGAATTGCAGCACCGACATCACAAAGGCGTACATCAATTCCCGCTTCCTATATAAAAAAATCAAGCCATGAATGCTCCCGAAAATTTGTTAACGCTTCCAATAAACTAGAAGCCCTTTCGGGTGAAAAACTTCCAATTTTCCATAATTTTATTTCCTATTTTAACAAATATTCACCTTAATGCCAGTATTAGTGGCTTCTCGTGAAGCCTCAAGTAGTGGATCAAACATAGGATTGAAAGCCAGAGTAAATGCACAATCCACAATACGTCCTGCAAGAAACAACAGGTTAAACCATCACCTCGTTACTAAAATTGATAACAATGAGAGTGTGTGAGTTAATAAAGCTTTGAACAAACTGTTTTAATGCACGAAGGTGGTTCAGTATGTAATAGGAAATGGTGAAAACAATACTATTAGACTAGAGATAGGACCACAACATGGTCTGGGTCGTGAGGGATGAATCAATATGGCTAGTTTAGGAGAATTGTACAATGACGAGATCTGCACATGCGCCAGCCTGTTATGATTTCTGTCACTGTACTATGGACAACTCAGCGAAAGTAGGCATAACTCGCAATAAAAACTATTTCATAGAAGGTCGTAACATCCTCTTTCCCATGTTTTTTGAATAAGAACCAGCAGCTCACGACAAGCCGGGGGTTTATCGCAAACAGCATCTCTAGACTCTACCTTCCACCCTCCCCAAACCCCACTTATGGGATTACATTGGGTATGTTGTTGTACATAAAAATATGTACCGAGGCTGATTAATACTTATTTATCAGGGTGATTCTACCTGATTTAGAAAGATCCGTTTTTTATCCACGCATCCAATCTTCTCCCAAATACTGAACTATGTTTGGAATGGTAGTAAACACTGACAGATAGAGCAAGTGAAAGGGGGTCAATAATCCCTCCAGATGGATTGTTGAACAATATTAGAACTCCATATGGATGTCAATCTTCTTAAGCCTGAGGTCTATCGGAAACAGCTTCTCTACCTCCCAAGGTAGGGGCAAAGCCTGTGTATACACTACAATCCCGAGACCTAACTTGTATGATTACACCGATTATGTTGTCAATGTAGATGCCAATCACTTCTATGACAATATAGTTCTTTTTCGTACACCACTACGAGGCACCTGATATAACATGACCGGAGCTACTGTACCATTTTCCAAAACAAAAAACAAAAAATTTGATACATAAAGAGATAATGAGACTAATATCAATATACCATAAACCATAAAATCACATACCAAAAGCACCTTAATGTCTAACATAGTTACACAGATGAAGCATTCTATAATATTACCGTCAATATGGGTTCCAAAGTCCAACTTCATCACATCATCATACTGAAGCACAGTTTTATCTCCTGAATTGGGGGTCCAATGTGCAGCTACCCTGCAATAAGTAAGAGAAAAAGATTGACAATTTTTTTTTAAAAAAAAAGTAAGCACAGGAAAGAGAATGCGGACATGAAATAGGTCACTGCTAAATTCTGTTTTGAGATACCGTCTAACTGACAATACTTTAAATCACGCTACCATTAGTATCACATTTTTTTAGTAAATCAAAATGAATCTCTCATTTAACAGCCAAAAGGACAAGAAAAAGTTGCATTACCAGTTCAATGAGCACCCTGTAGGGAACGCAATACCAGCTTGAAGACCATTCTCTGATATCAATTTGCGAACCATATTCTCCAAAGTTTCACACAGGTCAATCATTAACATGCCAGGCTTAGCAATTTGCCTGATGTATTTCCGAACCTGAGGGTTGGAATTAAGGAAAAAGAAAATGGATATGAAATGTAATTGACAATTGAAGTTTTAATCCACAAGAAACTTTAGTATTGACTGTCTTACGACTATCTTTGGTAAGAAAATAGCCAGCGTGTATGTACATAGGTACTGACCTGACGATGAACTTCTGCTGCTTGACGAACAGAATTATAAGTTGGCTTTTCCAGGCGCTCCAGTTCCCTCTTTTCCTCGGATGTAGTCCTCCACAAGTTACTGCATCGACCA